AGCATTGGAGCCCAGGAAGCAGAGTTTTGGGATTGTTACTATAACCTCCAGTTTTTGTTTCTGGTATTTTTTTTTACGTCTCCAGGCTGGAGTGATCTCTAAACTCAGGTTTCTCAGATGCAGGGAGAATCAAGCCTCAGTGGAAACCATAGCCAGCGGAGCGGGAATTTCCAGGGAGGTCCCAGGAAGAGGGGCAGCCGGCAAGATGCTTTTTAGCCACAGCCGCCCTGAGTGTATCCACTTCACATCCCGGGGTTCCGCATGGGACTTCACTGGTGAAGCCAGTTTGGGTGTTGGAGCATGATGGAAAGCCAGTGATCTGGTTCAGAGCAGGCGGTTACTGGCTTGCCCCTCAGGCCACTCTGCCAGACCCTTGCTCGGGGTGTGCGCCGGACCAGTCAGCATGTGCCAAGTGCGCAGCGACAGAGCCACCCCTGGGCCTGGGGTGGGGGGGGAGTCAGCCACAGCACCTGCACCCAGCCGAGGCACCTGTGGCCCAGCCATGCCCACCCCAGGGCCTCTGCCATCAGACCCCACAAAGGGGGCGGCTGGGCCAGAGGGACACGGAGAGTGTCTGAGTGTGTGCACTCAGCAGGCTTTGGCTCCAGTTCTCATTGAGTAAATATTGCTCAGCGAAAGAGGAAAGCAGCCTGGCTGGCTGGCTGGCTACTCTTAAAAGGGAGTTTTATTAATGCTCGGCGTGGGCACCAGTTCTGACTTCTGGGTGGGGTTAAGGAGGGTGTCAGCCTTTAGTGACCACGGGCAGAGCATGATCAGGGTATCAGGTTTGGTGTGTCTGGATGCACACGGTAGAAGTGTTTGAAAGGGATCCCCTTCCTCAAGTAGGTTAAGCATCTCTGTCTCAGTCCTGAGTCTAGCTTTAGCAAGGACTTTTACATTTTTTCTAGAGTGTTCGAAGGCCGGCTTCAGCAGAGCCCTTGTCCAAATAAGGCTGGCTGCATGCTGGTGCTGCCTGAATCCGTGAGGGTCCTGCCTCTCGACCTCACTGATGGTCTGTTTTGCCATCTCCAGGGGTGGTGTGAACGGATTCTCGGTGGCTTGGGTTCGCTGTTGCAGCTCCCTATGTTGAGCCTCAGAAGCCATCCCCTCCTGCTACCGATGGTCCTCACGAGGCCAAGAGGTGACTCTGTTAGAATATTGGCTCCTTCAGGGATGCTCTGGGACTAGATACGCTTGAGGCACATGTCAAGTAGGGGGCTGGCTGGTGGGGAACTTAGCTCAACCCCCCAGAATCAGCAGGGTTTTCTGTGTTTGTGTAAGGGAAAGAAGAAATCCAGCAAGTGGAAGAACAGAGGTTTTGGGGGCACCAGAGGGGTCAGGTGTGCTGCTGGAAGTGCCAGCTTGCTTCCTGCACTGGCCATCCTGTGGCCTGGCCCCCCACCTCTGAAGGTAAATGACTGACAGTTGGCTCTAAAAAGACAGGACTAGAGCCAGAGGCAGAGAAAGAAGGCAACAAAGGAAGGAAGGAGGAAGCAGTAGGGTTTGCTGCTTGCCATGGTGTAAATTCTCCCGCCCAGGCCGAGATGCGCACGATCCCTCTAGAGTGCTGTGAGCCGCTCCCAGCACACCTTGTGCCCTGTACCCCAGCCCATCCTTGTATTGATGAAGCCCAAAGAAGAGCCCGAAGGTACGCAGGGTCAGGGGCAGAGCAGGGCCAGAACCCAGAGCTCCATGAGGCCATCTTCGAGGCACTTTCCAGAATGTTCATGGTGCCCAGTGACTTGGCCTGAGACCCTGAGAGAGAGAGAGGATGGATGTCAGAGGGCTTCTGGGGTCCTAGCGTGCCCCTAGGTGATCAGGGGCATTAGTCCTGGGGACCGGAGGCAGAGCTTCCTTGGCTACGCAAGCTAAGCAATGACAGATGATATGTGGAGGGTGACAAGGCTTAGGGCCCAGCACAGGACATCTCTGGCTGTGAGTCACTCGCTTCCAGTTGCTTTCTACAGCGTGACTGTGCCCGGTCCCTTGAGTGAGTGTATATGTGTGTGTGCGTGTGTGTGTGTTTTAAATTCATGGTCCTCTGGCTCCTCCCCTTTTCCTTACATATATTTTCTCTCACTAAGTGTATTGACAGACCTTGATTTGGGTCTACTCTCTGCTCTGGTTTGCTGTGTGACCGTGTTGGTCACCTGGCCCACGCGCCGCCCGGTTTTATCATCTCCCCATTGTTAGTTCGGCCCATGGAAGAAACACCACAGACCAGGCCCTCAAACAACAGACAGGCGTTTTCTCACGGTTCCGGAGGCTGGGAAGTCCGTGAGAGGCGCTGCCGGGCGTGCAGGTGGCCACCTTCTGCTTGTGTCTTCACAGACTTTCTTTCTTCAGAGACTTTCTCTGCTCTGGTCTCTCTTCCTCTTCTTTTAAGGATGCTGATCGCGATGTGGGGGTCCCCACTCTCATGACCTCAGCTGTACCTACTCACTTCTCGGGCCCCACTTCCTAACACCCTTGTCTTAGGGATGAGGGCTTCAGCGTATGAGTGCTGGAGGGACACATTCAGTCCATGGCACACCCTAACTGCCCTTCTAAAAGCTTCTTTGTAAGCTGAGTTTGGCAGGTGGTGCAGGTCCCCCAAGGAACAGCATCGTGGTGGTGGTGGTGTGGTCCCTGACCGCTGGCTGAGTCCATGTGTCTGAGCCACAGACCAAGCGAGGTGCTAAGCTAAACACATCCTGCCATGGAGGGGCCATTGAAGCCTCCACTTAAGGAGTAGTCCTGGAAGGCTTCCTGCAGGAGGTGGGCTCTCTTTCCTGGCAGGATGATCGGCCCCTGCAAAGGCTAGCCTCAGAGGGACAGAGGTAGAGTTGAGTCCGAAAGTCTGAGAGTGGCCTAGTCACCATACTTTGGGGGTAAGTCTCAGGCAGGGCAAGAGGGGCTCATCACAGTGAGGGTCTGGGGCCCCTGGAATGTGGCAACGCTGGCTGTCGTTGCTCTTCTGTGTGACCTCGGGCTCTCTTAGCCCCAGCTGCCTTGTTGTCTGTAAACCACCCAAAATTGTTGGGAGAATATAGTAAAGAAGCCCCCTTGCACGGTGCCCGGACAAGAGTAGAGTCCATACGGGCTGTCAGCGCCCATCTGTTCCTCACATGAATCGAATTAACAAGCATTTATTGAGCATTTACTCCGTCTCCCCCGCCTGTGCCGGGCCACTGATGGGATGCGGTGTCTGTGTCCCAGGATCCTACTGCTTGGTGATAGGAGTGAGGCAGACGCATAGGACAGAAGCAGAGGCCAGGAGAAGTCTGGTGCGTGCAGGCAGCCCAGGGCCTCCTTCTGTCTCTCTGGATTCTGGAGGGGGAGGAGGGTGGGCACTGGGCCAGTTTTGCCAAGGAGGGGAACATGGTCTTCCTGTCCCGTGGCTGTCATTAGACGCTCTGAGCTGTAGCCTGCGCGGTGATGAGGATGCCCAGGGACGCAAGCACTTGGCAGCTGGGGGGCCAGAGGCAAAAGTGAGGTGATCCTAGGGAGACATGAAGGGGAAACTGAGGCACCATTGCTTGGTGAGCCCAGAGTCAGTGCCAGGAATCATTCACTCTGACGTCATCTACTCTGTGGACCAGGACCAATTCCATTTTATAGATCAAGAAACTGAGGCTCAGAGAGAGGAAGCCCCAACCCAGACTCTCAGGCTCTTCCTCACCAAGCTTCCTGTTTATGCACCGAGTCCCCGGAGCAGGGGCGTCTTGTGGGGTCTGCACCAGGGGAGGCCAAAGTTGCTGCCCAGGGGCGAAGAGGGGCCAGGGGTGGGGTGGTGGAGGGGGCCCAGTGGCTGTGCCCTGAGCCCCACCCTGAGCCTGGGCTGGAGGGAGCGTGGGCCGGTCGGGGGCACGGGGCGCGCAGGCGAGCAACTGGGCGCTGGGGCTCCGCGGCCCGGCCCGTCCGTCCCGATCCCCGTTAGCGCGGCGCCACCTAGCGGCCCTCTGGGGAAACGGCGGCGCGACCTGTCCCTGCCCGCGGGAGCTGGGCCCCCCAGGTCCTTGGGCCTCTGCATCCCTGGGGGAGAGGGGAAGGAAGGAATCGCCCTCAACTGGCCCAGAGGAGCAGGCGGTGACACCTGACACCTAAGGGGCGGAAGGGGTGGAGGCAGATGCTGGCGGGAAGCAGGCTTTGACCTTGATCCAGTCCTAGTTTTGTCCCCTCCCAAGGTCCCACCTCCAGGCCCAAGGATGAGGCAGAAGTCCAGGGGGCAGGCAGGAAGAAACACCGGAGGGGTCCGTGGTCCAAGGGCCTAGGATTGAGCCGGACCCCATTACTACTGGAACCTTGGTGGGAGGCAAGGCCATGCACACCGGCTTTATGATGCTGGGGGCATCAGCGTGATGGTGGTGTCTGTGCATTGTGTGTGTGTGACTGCAGATGTGAATGTGTGTCTGTACGAGAGTGTGTGTAAGTGCGCTCTGCGTGTGTTCTGGGTGTGCATGCAACACTGGGCAGAGCTTCCCTTTCGGCCATGCACTTTGGTACAACCTGCCCTCCATGCCCTGCCACTCTTCCTGAGCAGCTGGAGCCCTCCCGTGACCCCAGAGGGACCTGCAGGAGGCTCCCAGGTTTGGCCCCTTCTGTCCCCACCCAGCCCCCGCCCACAGCCCACTGGCAGCAGATGCTCCCTCGGGTTGTGGCCCTGCAGGAAATTGCTCCTTAAGGCTGGACGTGGAGGCCACCCAGCTTTACAGCCTCAGTCTGAGAGCCCTGTGTGAGGATCTTCAGGTGGAAAAGATGAGGACACCCAGCAGCCATTAAGTGTGTGCCTTTTTTTTTTTAAGTGTGTGCTTTAAAATGCCAGGTGCAGGGCAGCCCGGGTGGCTCAGCGGTTTAGCACCGCCTTCAGCCTGATCCTGGAGACCTGGGATCGAGTCCCATGTTGGGCTCCCTGCATGGAGCCCGCTTCTCCCTCTGCCTGTGTCTCTGCCTCTCTCTCTCTGTCTCTCTGTCTCTTCGTAAATGAATAAATAAAATGTTTAAAAAAAATAAAATTCCAGGTGCGGGAGGACGAGGGTGTTTCTTCTGCTGTCTCGGGCCTCGAAAAATCCAGAACCTGATGCTCCAGACCCCAAATGAGGAGGACTGGAGACCTGAGCCCTGGGAGCATTCCACTCTGGGACTCTCTGCTTGCTGGAGTGGAAGGAACTTGTCGGCACGTGAAATGGTGATGGTGGAGGAAATTGGAGGATGGTGACCACAAATGTGACCAGCACAGTTTGTCCTTCCGTACGTAATGCCCTTCCCAGGAGTGATCAGGCCACAGATGTCCACGGGGAGGGGGAAGGGGTTCCCACTGGCTGAGGGCCATTAGTTCAGCCCCCAGAGTGGGTATCTCCTTACAGAGACAGGGACTGAACCTTAAGGAGGTTATAAAACCTCCTTGTCCAAGATCCTCTGCTTCTAAGTGACAGAGGGAAGATTCGAGCTGGCTTGACTGACACCAGGGCTGTGTAGATGTTACCTAAAAGCAGGAGTGCCAACCAATGCTGATGGCCTGGTGGGGCACCATGGAGCCTGGTCGGGCACGATGGGGCCTGATGGAACACCATGGGGCTTGGTCTGGCATGGTGGGGCCTGAGTGTGCCTCAGAGTGGCCACAGCTGGTGCCTGCTGGCCCAGGAATCTGGCCTCTGCTCCCTGGCTGTGGCGTCATGCATGGACTATTGTTCTGTGCTTGGGCCTTCAGCTCTGGGTTTGGCAGGAGTCTGGGAGTGGGGTCTTGCCTTCATGAGTACTGTCTCCTGCCTGCTGTGATGTGTCAGCTTTCAGGGAGAGATTTTCTTGGAGCTTATCTGGGGACAGGCATCTCTGTCCTTCACTCTGATAACAACTCCCAGTTTCCTCCAGGGAGGCAAGAGGCCCTCCTGGAAACCAGCAAACACTTTTTTTTCACCCATGCCACTTCCCAGCAATTCTCTCTCTGATTTCCTCCTCTTTCTGCATCCCAAGTGCTGGAACTGGCTCCTAACTGTCTTCCCCTAAGACCAAGCCTCTAAGGCTAGCTCCTCCCCCTGGGCCCTAGGGAGACCCACAGTATGGGCCTAACAGAGATCACATAGATTCCTGAACAAGGGGACGCCTGGGTGGCTCAGCGGTTGAGCATCTTCCTTTGGCTCAGGGCGTGATCCCAGAGTTCCAGGACCGAGTCCCACACTGGGCTCCCTGTGTGGTGCCTGCTTTCCCCTTTGCCTGTGTCTCTGCCTCTCTCTCTGTCTCTCATGAATGAATAAATAAAATCTTAAAAAAAAAAAAAAAAAAGAATCCTGAACTGGTTGGTGGGGAGGGCTTTGCCTCTACTTTCTTATCTGATAGGAGGGCCTCAGCTCCAGAAAGCTCTGACCACCAGTACGTTTGTGGTGGGGACGTGGCCTGTGGGACTACAGCTCCTCTCCTGGGCCCCTTGCTCTTCCTGGTGCCCCTGGGCTCTGGCCAGCCTCTCAGACCTCCTTGTTCTTTCTTAGCTTCCTTTCCTGTAAAATGGGTTTAGCAAGAGGATCAAGGGCCAGCTGCTGGGGTTCCTTCACCTGTTCTGCTTTGGCTCTCCCTCAGATTCTGTTGGACCCCCTTCTTGCTGCTCCCAGGCCTTTGCTAAGTGATTTCCCTGCTGGGGCCTCTCACTAATCAGATTTGAAAAACTGAGACTGGTAATATTCGTGTCAAAAGATGGGTAGGGAAACAGGCTTAGGGAAGCAGTTGATCTACCTGAAGTCCCACGGAAGTTGGTGGGTGAATTGAGCCAGAACCCAAAACCCTGGGCCATATTCCCTTGCTGAAGATAACTGGGTGAGGGGTCCTAGGAAATATTTCTCATCCTTGTCCCAATCAACCCCTCCAAATGGTTTCAGTTTTCTCAAGTATGAGCATATGTATTCTTAAAGACAACAACAGAAGTTTGTTTCTTGCACACAAGCAGTGTAGGGTTTATCTGGCAGCTCTACAGCGTCATAGGAACAGTATCCTTTCATCCAGCTGCGCTGCCGTGCTCAACGGTGACTTTCATCTTTGAGTCTAAAAAGGTTGCTGTGGTTCCTGCCATCATTTCTACACCCCAGCCAGTGATAAGGAGGAAAGAAGAAGGAGAAAGCTTAAGCCTTTCTTTCCCCCTCTTTTTTCAATTTAAAAACTTGTGTTAAAATGCAAATTACATAAAATTTACCATCTTAACATTGGAAATGTACAGGTCAGTGCTATTAGATACATTCCCATTATTGTGCCACCAGATGATGAAGACATTTTCTAGAAAAAACTGAGGTTCAGAGAGGGAGTTTTGCTCAAAGTCACACAATGTGTAAATGTGTCTTTTGACTCTAAGGACTACCTTGGGGGCCTCTGCTGGACCTCGGTGCCACTTTCATTAGAAAGGTGGTCATGTGGTAGACAGGGGTCCCAAGGTGCCCTTCACACCCAGGGGAATGAAGAAGCCCATCTGTGGCCTCCACCCATGGGTTGCTGGGCCCGGGATTTCCACCCAGAGCTCACAGGGCTCCCACGAGCACCCTGCCAGCCCCATCCTCTGCTCCCCAGAAGCTTTAAGATTCTGGGAAAAATAGGAATGTCTTAGGGATGAAGTACTTTTTTTTTTTTTAAGATTTTAGTTTTTTATTCATTAGAGAGAGAGGCAGAGACACAGGCAGAGGGAGAAGCAGGCTCCATGCAGGGAGCCCGACGTGGGACTCAATCCCAGGACCCCGGGATCACGCCCTGAGCCAAAGGCAGACGCTCAACCTCCTGAGCCACCCAGGCGTCCCAGGATGAGGTACTCTCATTGGATTTTCCCCCAGGATTGGTTTGCAGAACTTACTACTGAATGATTTACTCAGTTGGCCCAGGCCAGAGCGTTGTTGTGGCATCCCAAGTGTGCATGTGCATGTTTGTGTGCATGCACGTAGTTCTGCGTGGGCATGTGTGTGCACATGTGTGCATGCTGCATGTGCGCGCATGTGTGTGTGTGTGCGCTTGAGTGCTTGTCTGTACCTGGTGTGAGTGCAGATGCACGTGTTTCTGTGTGGACACCGCCTCTCAGAGCAGGGACCCTGGGGCCCGCAGCCGTGAGTGGGGAGGGCGGCTGCCAGCTGGGCCCAGCGAGGAGTTGTGTCTGGGGTGGTGTGTTGTAACTGGCAGCCTGGCATATGAGTCACCGGCCAAATTAACTCAAGCTTCCTTTGGGGAAAAATGTAATCAGTTATTGCGCTCCGTTCCATTTTAGCAAATTAACTCGTCCAGTTTTTATTTCTTTTTATTTTTTTTTTTAATGTGGCGGGAGGTTGGGGGGAACCGGGGGTGGTGGAGGCCGGGGCCGGAGCTGAGCAGCTGCTCTGACAAGCCGCTGAGCTGCTGAGCACAGATTTGGAGACAAGCTGTGTCCAGGCTGAAGCAGGGGGGCCGGGGCCACTGCTCCTGGAGGCTGATGTGTCCTCCGGCCCTGTGGGGGCACATATTTGAGGAAGAGATTCGCTCCCCCTGAGCGTGTTTCCTGGACATTTTGTGCTGTGCCCACCAGCTGGAAGAGCATTAACAACCCCACTGGGAGTAAGTGGGGTAGGATTCCTGGGGTCTGAGCAGGCCTCCTGGAACAGATTGTCCCGGGGCCAGAAGACAGCAGTCTGGAAGTTTCTGCGAGGCCTTCCCGTGTGAGAATGACCACACTGCAGTCACGGGCACGGTGGGGTGCAGTTCCAGGACAGTCATGTTTGTACTCATGCCTCCTTCTGGGGTAGGTATTGCAAACCCCCAACACAGATGAGGGGTTTCTCTCTACCCTCTGAGAAGTGACACAGTGACATCAGACCCTGCTCCCTTCACCTCTTAGCTGGGTCATGTGCTCCTTTCCTCTCAAATATTGGGGGATTACTAAAGGTATTTGATCTTAAAGAGCCCGAGAATGCCCTGCTGCAGATGCTGGGGCCCATGGCATGGCCTAGGCACACATCCTGTCTCTCCTGGGAGGCCCGTGCCTCTGTCAACATCAGGTCCCATCATTGCCCAGGCCTTACCAGCTCAGGTTCTGCTGTCTCTGAGAGGCTTCCAGACTGTTCCCAGCCCATGTACTCTTCCCCACCCTCCTCCCACCTCCCATTGCTCAGAACCATGATACGCTGACCTTAGGTGCCAGATTTGTGCCCACTGTGGGCATGGAAAAGTGTCCCAATGTGCAGGGGATGGAGGGTCCAGTACACAGTCTGAGCAGAGGGCACAGGGGAAGTCTGGGCCCAGCCAGGCCCCTGGGCACAGGGAGGAGGCTGTGGGCAACAACTGGGGCAGGCAGGGTCCGGATGAGCTGTGGGATCCCGAGGTAGCAGCCCCTCTGCCCAGAGCCTGGGTGACAGAGAGGCTCAGAAAGGGGAGGCACCCCCCACAGGTGGCCAGCCCCTGCATGGTGGTGCCCCGGAAGGCAGGGCCTACTTTCTGGCAATGAGGAAGGGGCCCTTGTGCAGGCAGGTGGTCTAGGCCAGGAGGGAGAAAGCAGCATGGCACTGCCATTGGTAGCAGAGAGAGCCAGGGACTCACAGGAGACACCCCGGGGGCACTTGCAGGTTCTGGGAGACATCTGGAGGAAGGAGGTGCTACATCAGCAGAGTTGGGAGCTGAGGAAGTGGACTTACTGCAGGGAACCAGCTGAGGAGGCCCTGGAACCTCCGGTGTAAGAATTCCGAGGGTGACTGTTGCTTAAGCAGTTTGCATGCAGATTTCAGTGGGTCCTCCCAGGCCTTGCAGTGTAGGTATGGCTTTTATGCCCTCTGGAAAGCTGAACAAACTAAGGCTTGCAGGGCTCTGGTGAGCGGCAGAGCAGGGTGACAGCAAGGCCACCCCAAGGCTCTGCACAGGCCACCTGTGGTGGCTCACAGCCATCCGTTGTCACTTTGTGGCTTCATGGGTAAAGCCACCTCCCTAATGCAGCTGCAAGCCCTGGGGTGGGCATGAGTCTCAGAATTTTGGAACCCGTTTGTCCCCTGACATAGGCCAGGCAGCTGCAAAGTAGCCCATAGAGACCTGGATCTTCTCTGATGGGGGTGCTGGAGGCTAACCGCTGGGGTGTGGTGAGGGATGGCTAGTGTGGGCTCTCACAGCCCCAGGAGATGGACTCACTGTCCCTAGGCTGCTCACGGGCACTGCTGTTTGGATGGCTTGGAGCCTTGGCTGGTGGGGTGCTGGACTCCCTCTGTGCTCATCAGATGCCCGACTTCCTGAGTGGGGAAAGGGAAGGCTCGGGGATCCCTCCCACAAACCCTGGCTCCGGCCTCCATTCAAGCAGTGTTGGGTTTGTCTGGAAAGTCTGGCCACTGCTGTCACCATAGATTGACGGCGGGGCAGGAACTGAAGTACCCATCATGTGTCCACTCTGGCTTTCAGGTGAGTGTTTGTAATCAAGCCCTTTGTGGGTGGCGTCAGATGGTCAGAGCAGTGCAGAAGGACCTTGGGAGCAGCTTGTCCGGTGGCTCCTGGGGGTGTCTTGGACATGGGGGGGCACTCCTCAGTGGTCACAGTGCTGGCAGCCGGGACTGCCACTTGGTGGGCAGGGATGCCTGGGCCTCTACTGTGCTGTGAAGAATGGTTACTGCCTCCCACGCAAACTGCAAATGTCGCACCAGACATTCCTATGGGTGAAAAACTTGTTGAAGATGATCTGAGCCTAGAGCCGGACTCTGTTTGACGTATTAATACACAGTATGTGTTTTGGTGTTTTGTTTTGTTTTGTTTTTGCATAGTTTTAGCAAAAACAGAATCTCCAAGGCATGCAGCCACAGTGAAAATTGAGGAGAGATTGTCTTTTGTTCTGTCTCAGGATTTTACCGAGAGTGTTCACTGCTCCAGACACGTCCCCAGACGCAGGGCTGCTCATGGTATTTGAGTGTCCAGTACAGCGTCACGACGCCAGCCTGTATTTATTTGGAAATGTCACATTCATGGTGAGTGGATGAGCAGGTCGCCCAACCTCCAATTCTACTGCTTCACTTCTACCTCTAGTGTATACATGCTGAAGCATTTAATACAGAATATTGGGGCACCCGGGTGGCCTTGTTGGTTAAGCGTCTGCCTTTGGCTCAGCTCATGATCTCAGGGTGCTGGGTTCGGGTCCCGCATTGGGCTCTCTGCTCTGTGGGGGGCCTGCTTCTCCCTCTCCCCCTGCTTGTGCTCTCTCTCTCTGTCAAATAATTAAATAAATAATTAAATAAAATTAATAAATAATTAAATAAAATCTTAAAAAAATACAAAATGTTGTTTGATTATATACCACTCTTATTTCTCCTTTATATTACAAATGAAGGCATTATTACGTTGATTTTTAAAATTATATACTCGAATAGGTCATATTATCAGTTAACTATTTCTGGAGAGAGAGGGAGGTGCCACCGGGCATCTGTTTTAGGACGGAAATGCTGAGTCTTCTATTTCATAGATGGGGGAAATGGAGTCCAGGAAGACCCCGTGACCCGCTGGATGTTGCACTAGGAACAAGCCAGAAAGAATTGGAATACAGGTCTCCCAAATCCGGGTCCGGGGCTCTTTCTGCTTCCTCAACAGCCTGTGGCCGCCCTCCTCGGCCTGTTTTCTCATTGTAAGCTCTGCTCCCTATTACACAGGGGGAATGAAAGATTTAATTATTTTATTTTATTATTTTATTTATTTAAAATTTTTATGTATTTATTCATGAGAGACACAGAGACAGAGACAGAGAGAGAGATAGAGAGAGGCAGAGACACAGGCAGAGGGAGAAGCAGGCTCCCTGTGGGGAGGATCGAGTCCCAGGACCCCCGGGATCACGCCCTGAGCCGAAGGCAGACGCTCAACCACTGAACCACCCAGGCGTCCCAAAAGATTTTTTTTTTTTTTAAAGTCGATTTTTGTTTGTAATGTCATGGAAACTTCCTGAAAAGCCAGTGAGGCCCCGGGCGGTGTGGACCAGCAGTGTGCAGGTGTCCGGAGCCTGTCCCCGCTGTACCCTCCGGTCACACTCCCCCTGGGCTGGGCTGAAGCCAGGGGCAGGACCAGATGACCTCCTGTGACCTCGTCTGGCCAACACTATTTTCTCCCTTTCTAGATTGTTTTTCCAATCTCCAAGTGAATCTGAGTGAGACTCTCTATTTTTTGACGACTACCTTTCAACTCAAGTTATGGTTTTATAAATAATATATATGGCAAGTCGGTGCTGGGGAAAGGACGTTCATTCGGCTCTGAAATATTTATGGCCCGGAGTGTCTGCTTACTTTTCTTTGGAGTCATCTTTTCAGCGCGGCGTGCCAGAAAGCGCGACAGCCGGGCCATCTTCGGAGGCGGCGGCCGCGTGGCCCTTCCAGCCTATCCATCCTGGGCCGCCGGGGAGGTGGCAGCTCTGCCCAGACCTCCTCAATTATCCCCGGGAAGGCTCTGCGCGGGTGACAGGAATCAGCGCCACTGCCTTCCAAGCAGACGGTGCTTTCCGGCGCGGCCTGAATTGTAACAGACGCTGCATCAGCCTTACTGGGACGTGCTCTTGAATCCTCGGGCCTCTCCCAGGCCGCCTGCATCTTAGCCCCCATTTTGCGGGCGGGGAAACTGAGGCTCGGCAAGGTTAAGGAATTTCTCAAGGTCAAGGCCGTAATCAAGCAGGAGCCTGGATTTTCACCCAGCCTGGCTGACTTCATGTCTCAATTTTTTCCTCCTTATCCCGAGCTGCTGCCCAGCCGGCCCCACCGCCCCGCTGAAGCTGGGGGCCAGCAAGTGGATTGCGGATCACTTTCCACGGCTGCGCACGCCCGTCTGCGACGGTTGGAAATGCTAGGGGCTTGGATCTGGGAAGAGCAATCTGCTCTGAACAGCCGGGCTTGAATCCCAATCCTACGGCAATGGATGCGTTCCTGCATGTGCTGAAGTGGGGCAGATGGTGCTGGAAAGACCCAGGCGTCGTCTTGTCTGAATCCCCATGTTACAGGTGGGAGACTAAGAGCCTGGCAGGGGTAGGGATTTGCCCAAGGCCATAGAGATACTTGGAGCCCATTGGTCACAGTGGTGGCTCTTGGAGGCTAGTCATCTGGCCAACCTCGCCTCCCTCCCATTACCCTTCTTCTTCCAGGGGAAAATCAACACTTGGAGAAGGAAAAGTTTGATCAGCCTCAACACACTGGATGAATATAGAGCTGTGTACTTCCTTGGTCTGGCTGAAAATCCACGAGTGACTTAAATAATTTTGAGACTGCTTGAGGAAAAACTAAAATTCCAGGGCATTTCTAAACTGGTTGGACCATGGAGTGGGCTGTAGTTAATAAATTTCAGATACTTAATCAGTGATCGGACTGAGTAGTGAGGCCTGGAATATCTCATACCACTTCTCCACCTGGAAGGACAATTTCCTTTTCTTTTTTTTTAAATAAATTTATTTTTATTGGTGTTCAATTTACCAACATACAGAATAACACCCAGTGCTCATCCCGTCAAGTGCCCCCCTCAGTGCCTGTCACCCATTCACCCCCACCCCCCACCCTCCTCCCCTTCCACCACCCCTAGTTCATTTCCCAGAGTTAGGAGTCTTTATGTTCTGTGTCCCTCTCTGATATTTCCCACACATTTCTTCTCCCTTCCCTTATATTCCCTTTCACTATTATTTATATTCCCCAAATGAATGAGACCATATAATGTTTGTCCTTCTCCGATTGACTTACTTCACTCAGCATAATACCCTCCAGTTCCATCCACGTCGAAGCAAATGGTGGGTATTCGTCGTTTCTAATGGCAGAGGAATATTCCATTGTATACATAAACCACATCTTCTTTTTTTTTTTTTTATTTATGATAGTCACTGAGAGAGAGAGAGAGAGGCAGAGACACAGGCAGAGGAAGAAGCAGGCTCCATGCACCGGGAGCCTGATGTGGGACTCGATCCCGGGTCTCCAGGATCGCGCCCTGGGCCAAAGGCAGGCGCCAAATCGCTGCGCCACCCAGGGATTCCCAAACCACATCTTCTTTATCCATTCATCTTTCGATGGACACCGAGGCTCCTTCCACAGTTTGGCTATTGTGGCTGCTAGAAACATCGGGGTGCAGGTGTCCCGGCATTTCATTGCATCTGAATCTTTGGGGTAAATCCCCAACAGTGCAATTGCTGGGTCGTAGCGGAAGGACAATTTCCTATAGGAAAAACGTGCTTATATTCCCAATAGTTGGTGACTCTAGGCACCCCGAAGGGTGGGGCTGGTGCTCTGTCGTAACTGGGATAGGCAACAATAATCGTGAAATCAATCAAGGACAACATTCCTTTTCTTTTTTAAAGCTTTTATTTATTTATTCATGAGAGACACACAGAGAGAGGCAGAGGCACAGGCAGAGGGAGAAGCAGGATCCCTGGGGGGAGCCCGACATGGGACTCGATCCCGGGCCCCTGAGATCACGACCTGAGCCAAAGGCAGATGCTCAACCACTGAGCCACCCAGGTGCCCCAGGAACATTTCTGAAAAAGTCCAGCTCAACCTGAGCCAGAGGGAACTGTCTGACTGTTCTGCTCCCCTGCCCCTGCCATAGGAACCTCCCTGTGGTAGATAGTCTTCAAAGATGGCCCCAGCCATACCTCCTGGGGTTCATGCCTTCCTACTACACTCTCCCCTTGAATATGGGCTGGCCCTATATGCACCAGTAGAATGTACTGGACATGACTGAATGACTTCCAAGGCCATGTTCAAGATCCTCCTCTGAGATGAGCCCTCCACACCAGCTAAGAAGCTACCACAAAGAGCATGTGCAGTATGATGGAAAGCCAGGGCCTATGGGAGAAAAGTCTCTCTGCCCTTCCCTCTGGACAGCCCTCCCTCACCTGGAGTCCCTCTTAGACCTCACCTCTGCCATGGTTTCTGACCATCTCCCAAAACGTGTGGCCAGGAGGCCCCAGAGTGTCCTTGGGGGACCCACATTGGGAAGGAGTAGGGCTATGGTATGCAAATAGCTAACTGGTAGGCATAAGATGAGCACAAAAATTGAGCATGTCTAGACACTGGGATCGAAATTTGACATTGCCATCACAGCTAAACTTTGATTCACGTACTTGTCTCTTCAAATAGGAAATAGACAGTATACAATTGAGAATTGTCAACATGGGAGGTGTGTCACATTTGATCTGAGTGGCATTCTGGTCATGTGCAGAAGCACCACATATTGTCCATGATGGACATCTAGTTTGTGAAGCAGAGTATGAGCCTGTACTATGCTTTTGTGCATTCTGTTTGGGAGGAGCCAACCCTGGGGGAATACATGCCACTGGTAAGTGCAGTGGGGGCTGGTTTTCAAGCCCCATGCTCACCCCTTGACACCTGAGCTGGATATATCTGTGCAGTGCACAGAGTGTACAGTTGTCCATAGTAAGCAGGAGAGGAGGCTTGCCCCTGGAGTGAAGACTTGAGCAGCCTGACCAGTTCTTCTTTGAAGCAAGACCTTTGGAGGCTCAGGACTTATCTCACAAGAGAAACTTTGACTTCCTTTCTCTCAAGGAAAAGAGCTGAAAGATCTGAGGATTTTGCATATCTTTTTGTTTAAGACAAACTGATGACATTAGACTCTGGGATCAATGACTTGATTTTCACTTAAATGCATAAGACCTCAAGTAGCAAATTCCCTTGGCCCAGAGGTTGTTTTGTTTTTTTTTTTTAACATCTGAGGAAGAGTCAGAAAACTCAGTGGACCCCAAGTACTAACATTTCCAGAGGCCAGGAGCCAGCTGGCTTTGCCTGGCTGGGAGGTAGCCCTCCCCAGCTAGTTGCCTCTGGGAGGTGTCTGGGAAATGCCGGGCAGGTCTGGGATGGATCATTCCAGTTCAGCTCCAGAGTCTGGCTTTGGAGGTATGATTGTGCCAGAATTAACTAAGTCCTGGCACACAACTCAGGCTAGCCCACCTCCTAAAGAGATACCCTAACAGCCAGGGTGTAAGTCTTGGGCTGGAGAGAGCACTTCCTGGAGGGACCCTGTCAGGCTTGGGGCTACAGGGGGAACCTCCCTGTGGCTCCTTTAAGGCTTTTGATCCCTTTCGTGAGGGCTACATTTGTTTTTTATTTAAATCAATTAGCATAAAAACACACAGTCACCAGGATCATTTATTAAACATCTATTTATGATAGCTTCGGGTTTTGGGCTCTTCTACAGTGCCGGCGTAAGGAAGGCAGAAGAACACCCCTTCCACGCACCCTCATCCCCTCCCAAGTTTCTACTTTCCAAATCCCTGGATCTGGTGAATATGCTACCTAACATGGCAAGGGAGAATTGAGGTTGCGGATGAAATTATGGTCACTGATCAGCTGATGTTAAGACAAGAATTATCTGGGTTGTCTGGGTAGACCCAATGTCATCAGAGGGTGAAGTTAGAGATTTGCAGAGGATTTTGCTGGCTTTGGAAATGGAGAAGGGCCATGGGCCAAGGGATGCAGAAAGTTGAAAGTCATAGGAGGAGGAAGAGGCCAGGGGATGAGATTCTCCCCTGGAGCCTCTGGAGGGGGAAGCAGCCGTGCTGACACTTTGAATTTAGTGCAGTGAGACCCATGTCAGATCTGACTCCAGAACTTAAGATAATCAATATGCACTGTTTTAAGTCACTCCATTTGTAGTAACTTGTTACAGCAGCCTAGAAAACTAATCCAGGGGCGCCTGGGTGGCTCAGTTGGTTAAGCATCTGCCTTTGGCTCAGGTCATGACCCCAGGGTCCTGGGATGGAGCCCAGCATCTGGTTCCCTGCTCAGTGGGGAGTCTGCTTCTCTCTCTCCCTCTGCCCTGCCCCCTGCTCGTGCTTTCTCTCTCTCTCTCTCTCTTTCTCTCTCTCTCTCTCTCTCTCGTGCTCTATCTCAGATAAATAAATAAAATCTTTAAAAAACACAAAACAAAACAAAAAAAAACTAATCCAATGGGGCTCAGAGAGACTGTAACTTGCTGGAGAAGGTGCAGTGTTAAGGGCTTTCCCGGATCAGCCGGATTCCAGAGCCTTCGCTCTTCTCTGCTCCACACTGCCTCCTGCTGGCACCCCAGGTGGCCTTAGTGTGGCGGCAGGAGAGGGGACAGCTCTCAGGCATTGGGCACCTGAGGAAGGGGCAGAGAGACGCAAAGGAGGGAGGTAACTGTGACCCTGTTGGCCATAGTTGGCCCTCCCCTCCTGGCCATGGCTCTGAACAAAACTCTTCCCCAGGTCTCCGGGCAGCTTACACCTGGCACCAAGCAAGGCAGGTTCACTTGCAGTATCTGAGCCCTGTGCACCCCTACCAGCGGGGTGGGGTGGGGTGCCTGCCTCCCGGGGATGGGGTAGGGATGGGCTGTCTCTTGGACATCTTCGCCTCTTGGGATTAGATAAGATGCAGGTTTGAATCCCCACTGCACCACTTGGGCAATGTGCTTAGTTTCTTTGAACTTCGTCTTCCTTATGAGGAAAAAGAAGGTGATCATGCCCATTTGATTTCGGGATCCTGGAGTGAGCGAGATCCTACTGCTGGATCCATGCCAGTTTTCTTTCTCTGGAAGGTTTTTTTTTCTTTTACTTTTTTTTTTTTTAAAGATTTTATGTATTTATTTCAGACACAGAGAAAGAGAGAGAGAGCATGTACAAACAAGGGTGAGGAAGCAGAGGGAGAAGCAGACTCCCAGCTGAGCAGGGAGCCCAACACAGGACTCAATCCCAGGACCTGAGGATCATGACCTGAGCCGAAGGCAGACACTTAACAGAATGAACCACCCAGGTGCCCTTTCTCTGGATGCTGGCCAAAGCAGCTATGAACTGAGCATTCAAAATGGGCTTGACACAGGTGACCTCAGAGACGTAAAGGACACTGAAGGAGTCCTTGGCCTCCAGTGACCTCCAGCTGGGTGTACCTGAGGTTATTTACAGCTTGAGTGGACTGATTCTTTATTCTGAGGAGCAGAGGACCAGGAGCATGAGCTGGGTAAGGAGCTTGGTTCATGGGCAGTGGGGAGGATGGGCACCCCAGGGGTGAATGAGGGGTGGGCAGAGTGAAGGGAGCAGGACCTGGACTCCCAAAAGTCAGGGCGGTTCTGGAAGGTCAGGTCCCCAGAAAGCAGACTCCAGATGAGGGCTGGTGTGCAGAAAGGTTAATGGGGATGCTCCTGGGATCAGTACCTGGCGGGGGAAAGGACAGCAGAGGGAGAGCTGGCCCTGCAGCCAGACCTCAGCCAGGCTCAGGGCTGGGGCTGGGCGTTCACAGACCCACACTCAGCACCCATGGGCACAGGCTGTCTCTGGAAGGGGTCTGGTCCACACCGTGGGGGAGCTCTTTTCAGAGAGGTACTGCAATCACCTTCCCAGAAGTTAGGGGATAATCCCTCAGACTTTAAGAGGACTTCAGTG